GTGAAAAGATGTCCAACCTCACTAAGTGACCAGCAAACGCAGATTAAAACCAAATGTGACTCCTTGCACATTGCTGGCAGGAGTTCACTGACATAAGGCTTAGAACAGTAATTCACAGTATTTATTAATAGTAAGGATGAAGGTGTGCATACTCTACAATCCGGTAATTCCACTTCCCTGTAGAGTCCAGACTAACTCACCTTTGCATGTGTACACACACCAAGGATGTTTACTGCAGCACTGCGGCAATAGCAGAGGAATAGAAATGCCTTAAATGTCCACAGATGGAGGGACAGCTGAACAAACTTTGTATCTTCACACAATTAAATACTATACAGTGACTTAAACTGAAAAAATTCCTCATCTGGATCTATTAGGATAAACCTGATGCTTAAGCTTTTTAAAATGCTGTCAAAGGATACAAGTAGTGTGATCTCATTAACTTTAAAAAGACATAAAACAAGACTATACAGAGGCTATATGAGCTATAAGAATTTAAAAAAACATGGAGATTGACATGTACACACTGCTACATTTAAAATGGATAACCAACAGGCACCTACAGTACAGCACTGGGACCTCTACTCCAAGTTATGGGGCAGCCTGGATGGGAGGGGAGTTTGGGGGAGAAGGGATACAAGTACATATATGGGTGAGTCTCCTGGCTGTTGTCACAACATTGTTAATCGGCTATGCTCCAATATAAAATTAAAAGTTAAAAAAAAAACAGAGGAATCGCCCAACTCTTCGTGACTATGACATTCACCAAGAGATCAAATAGACTGGGATGGATTATAGAGTCAAGGCTTCGTTCTATTCTCCTAAATACTTTATTTCTTTTAAAACATCAGACATAATATGCAAAAACATTAACATCTGCAAATCTGGCTGTCATATGGAATTCTGTTATCCTTTCTATTCTGAAATATTTTTATATTGAAGATACCGACTACATTAAGCCAAAAAATCAGAAGCTATAAAAGAAAAGGAAAATTCAACAACATAAAGATTTAAGGAACAGAAGGGAAGGAAGAATGGGGAGAGAGAGAGAGAGGGAGAATGAACAATTAAAAGACAAATGACAAACTGGGAAAAGTATCCCCCTAACATATGCATATCAGACCAAAGAATTCTTTAGCTTATAATCTGTTCATGCAAGTCAATAAGGAAACAAGTCAACAAATCAAACAGAGAAATGGGCAAAGGACATGAATGAGCAGCTTACAATACATAATATAATGGCACAGAGGAAAGGCTTGTTCTTCACTGATCTTAATAGCAAAGCTTCGGAGGCCTGCCAGAGCTGGAGGAGGTGGGGAACAGGCCCTTTCTAAGATCAGGGGTGAATCACAGTGACCTTTTTGGAAGTGACTTGGCAATATCTGTTGAAATCCCCTTAGCCTGGGAATTCCATCGTTACTTCTACAGAAAAGTCTCTTGTGTTTGCACGAACATTTCCATGATGATCTTTACACATAGCACCATTTGCAACAGCGAAAGATGTAAATGACTTGAAAATCTACCGAAAATCCACAAGGACCTGTTTAGAAGCAACACCACACAAATAATGCACGAAACACTACGCAGCTGTGAAAAAGCGGATGCACGTGTCAGCACAATGTCACCAAGAGGCCTCCAAGCACACGATGAAACTTCAAAAAAGCAGGTGGAGAGCAGTGTCCTGTGTATCTCCAATGCCCTTCTGCCAAATGACTTACATGCTGACGTGGCTATGTCTCTACAGGAATCGATTATTCAAAGAATGCAAAAGAAACGAAGGGGGCAGGGGTCGAGAATGGGAGAAAGACCTTCTTTATGTTTAAGACCTTTGATGTTTAATTTTTTTTTTAACGGGTGCATAAGATACACTTTCAACTCAAGTTCTGCTAAAAGGAAAAGAGAAGAAGAAGAAAAAAAAATAAGGAATGTAAACTCTGGAGTACTTACACACCCAGACCTGAATTCCAGATCAACCACTTACTGGCTGCACAAATATGGGACGAGTCACCTCTCTGGATCCTAAGTTTGTGTCCAGTGGAGATAAAAGACCAGGCCCTTCCTCCTGGGGTGGCTGGATAGGCTAGGTAAGAGGAGCTCCAAGGTGGTTACCGTAGAAAAGTAGAAGCTGCTGCTCTCAGACTCCAGAACACACTTGGTCTTTCCCTCTCAAAGGTCCAGTGGACACGAGCCCGCCTTGTCTCTCTCTGCATCCCACTCCGCAGACAGGGGACGACAGGGGCAGCCGGGCACAGCCCTGCACACTGGGCATAGGGTCCGGCCTGCGTGGGGAGTGGGGGCCGAATCCCAGCCCTCCCTCAGCTTGTCAAGCCATCACCTGGATACAGAGCTGTGTCCAATTGCAGGGGTCATTCATCCTGCTTTCCATAACGTCTCTGTAAGGGCTAGGAGCCTACCTCATTTACAGCAGGTAATTAAACACTCCTCTGTAATCCCTGCCAAGTTACAAAGAGCCCAATGCAAAGATCTGAGTGTACACTGAAGCCCGGGGGGTGTCCTGGGAAAGTTGGCATCGTCACTCATTCGTATTTATATTTCTGTGTCATTTCCTCTGAACTCACAGATACCCTTTTTTTTACCAGCAGATGTGGTTTCTAGGGAAAGAGTTCTGCCACCTTTGGCCCACTGGTACCCACTTCCTGAACCTCAGGCTGCTGGGCAATGTTCTAAGTGAAGGTCACCCTGAGGACGGACCCTGTGCGGGGCCAGGAGTCCCAAGGGGACACCTCCCTGTCCCCTGCTTTCCTCAGAAGGGCGAGTCAGCAGGAACAGCCCCAAACCAAGGCAGGTTGGGGGTGTGAGGCCTCCAGGGACATAGGCAGGCCGTGCAGCACAGAAGAACCACGAGCTCATGAGCACTGTGGGCATACTGCACTCGGGGTACTGACTTGGGCACTGAACTACAGCAGGAAACCAGGTAACAGGCCTGGTGGGGAAAACACCCTAGGACCACATAGATAAATAAGAAATGGTGATGGTGAAACACAAGGGGGAGGCCAATAGAACAGGGGAGTGGAGCAGAGAGAACCGGGCGTATCTTAGGATAGTCAGCAAGTCCTTGGCTTAGACCTCAGACCGTGGAAAGGAGGGGGCGGAAGCGGGGGTTGGTGCTAAAGGGAGCAGAGTTTCCAGCCAAAAAGAAGAGCAAAAGACCCTGAGGCTTGTCAAGTATGAGTAACAGAAACAAGTCCCAGGTGACCGGAGACAGGGAGGAAGGGCCGGTGGTGGTGCCAGGACATCACAGGCCACCCCGGAACCTGGACGTTCCTCACAGTCCTTGAGAAGTCACCAGAGGGTATTAACAGAAGAATAACCCTCTGGATTCCGTTTTAGAAAGATCCCTGGGGCTGTCCAGCAGCTCTTGTGTGTCATCCTATTTAATTTTTAAAACACTCTATATGGTGGGGCTTCCCAGGTGGCCCAGTGGTAAAGAATCCTGATTTACCGGCAAGGAAACTGAGGCACAGAGAGACACATGAAGGGTCCCAGAGGTCTCCAGAAATAAAGACTTCAAGCAGTCTGAACTGCTCACTGTCTGGGACCCATGAATTGAGGTGAGCTGTCTGGGGTCGCTCTGGACAAGCTCCTACATCTCCTGGGCCTCAGATTTCCCATCTGTAAAATGGGAGCAGCAAGAACAAGTTCTGGGAGGTGTGGGAGCCTCAAAACATAGCCCAGGATTGAAAGCCTGCAGCCTCCATACCAGCCTGGCCCAGAGCAAGCACTTGGGCCCTGGAAGCTGGGTCTGGGCCTCCCCCGATGGATGGCAGTCCCTCTCCACTCAAGGTCTGCCCCCAGCCCAGCTTGGGGAGGGGTCCACAGCTCCCGCCTGCCACCACAACCACGCGCACACTCACCTCGCCTCCCGGCTGATGGGTCCACTGCACACACTGCATGGAACACACAGAGCTGCCCCGAGGTGCGGGGCGAGGATGGACTGCCACCCACACTCTGCCTGCACTCACTACACGGGGATCCCACGTAGGAGCCAGCTGGAGGTCTCAGTGGAGAAGCTGCCCTCCCTCTGCAGGTACAGCCCCTCCTGGAGAAGATGTCAGGCTCCAGCGGGGCGTGGCTACAGCCCCCTAGCCAGTGCCACAGAGCGATCCCCCTTTTCTGAGCCACACCTCCGCCCCCCAGCAGCTCCAGGGGCGGTGCCTTCTCCACTTGAGCCTCAGCTCAGTCCAGTGTGGTGTCCCCCTCTCCAGGGCCAGAGCTCCCAGGGTCCCCCAGCAGGGCAAAGTTCAGTCCACGTCTGAATTCCTAGTAGGAGCCCAACGGGGTCAGAGCTGCGGAGAGCAAGAGCGGAGGGCTGTGCATGCTGACCCGGTGGTGGCGCGTACACAGCCCCCAGGGTGGGGTGTCGAGAGGAGAAATGAAACCGTGGAGAAGGAAAACATGACCTCTGTTTCCTGCATCGGCCTGTCCCCTGGGAGTAAAGATTGGGTAAGAGAGACCCTTTTGAGGTCCTTTTTACATTAGTAAGGCTTTTCTACGAATTAGTTGTATATTCAACTCTCCTCGAACTGAAGGTTACCCATGAGGGAAGGGATGGGTGACTAGACTTCGAGGTGTTGCTGGGGAACGTGTAGACCGCCCCCCGCCGCCCCAGCCTCAGCAGTGATCCCTCTGGGGTAGGGCCGGAGCAGAGAAGGTGAAACTGTTGGGAGGAGGGTCAGCGCATTCAATATGACCCAGGGTCTCCTTGGCCAGGGGCTTCTGCAGGAGAACCCACAGCCCCATCCCCACCCCAGAGCCAGGAGGCACCCGGAAGACACTCTGAGCTCTTTTACAAGCCCTGGTCCACTCAGACCCTGTGTGTCGAAACCTACAAACACATCTCTGAGCACAAACACATGAATCCCTGTTCAAACACAAGAGCACGCCCAGGAATAAATTCTGGGAATACACAGGAACTGACTCCTACACACACACACACTTCCTCCTCCTCCCTGCCCACCCTCCTCCCAGCCCCAACATACAGCTTCTGGGGCCAGCTGGGCGCCCTCTGCCAGGGGACTCTCTTCCCCCATCCCTCGAGGAGGGCACTGCCCACCAGCTTCCTTCAACTTCAGCTCCAGCCGCATCGGAGTTTGTTTGTGAGCCTGCAGGTCCCTTGGGCCGTCAGCCCAGGAGCCTGAGCTCCGGGCGGAGCCAGGAGTGGCTGAACCAGCCCTCTGGGGAGCTCTGCATCTCCAAAAGTTCAATAAAGGGAAACCCTGGGCTCCTGGCTCGGGGCGGCCAAGCCCAGCTCCCTGGCCAGGAGCCCCACACCCCTGTCGGGCTCGGAGGTACCTGGGAAGGTGAGTCATGGGGGAGGCAGGCTGCAGGAAAGCAAGGGAGGAGGATCCAGTCTTGTAAAGGTGTCCCCGGGGGTGGGGGAGTGTCCCGGGGCAGCCGGTGGCCAAGGTCAGGCAGGGGGCGGAGGCCCCTGCCCCGGAGGAGGACAGCCCCGCCGGCCCCTCGTGCTCACTCATCACCCTCCTGGACTGTCCCAGGCTCTCTGCACCTGCAGCTGATCTTCATCCGCCCGCACAGAAATCCAGAACACGCCCCCGCTCACCTCCTACCCCATTCGAGACCATGTGGGCTCAAGCCCTAAGGCACCAGCAATTCCACACTCAACCTGGCACCCAGTCCTGGGGGTGGAGGAGGGCAAGACTGGGGCAGCCAGGGCCTGGGGACTGAGGGTTCCAGAGTCTCGGGTTTGTGCCTCGCCCACACCGCCTCTCCCCAGACCTGCTGGCCCAGGCTCCCACGGGACACCCCTGGGCGGGCACCCTAAACCTAATGGAGGCTGGTGCCCAGGGTCAAGCCACGAGCCAGACCACTGGGTGCTCCGTCACTCGGGCCCAGGAAAACCCCGGGCTCTGCCAGCAGCGCCCGCCCTCTGCCCTTTTAAGAGCCGTCCTTGTTCTCAGGCTGGAAGGGTAGCCTGCACACGAGCAACCCCCTCGGGGCCAGCTCACACCCGAGGCCGCTTCCAAGCGAGCTGGGGCCATACGCCGACTCGGAGCAACCGAGGCACGGAGGAGTCGCCAACCCCGAGAAGGCCCCGGAGGCCAGCCTCCACTGGCCCCGTCTGCAAGTGGGAGGCCCCATCCAGCCTCTTCCGAGCGCCCTCATCCTGCCTAGGAGCTGTCAGCATCAGGGTCCTGGGACACACCTCAGCGTGGCCAGCACACCTGGCCTTCCGGGCCTGTCAGTCCAGCTGTCCTAGAAAGAACATTTTCTTCTCACTCTATTTGGATAGCTGCAGGGACAGCCGCAGGGAGCAGAGAGGGTCTGATTATTGATGGAGGTGGTGTGCAAGGCCACCGGCCTCTGAAGGGATCGAGGGCCTGGACCTGGGAGGCCTGGGCCCCCCTCCCCGACGGGGTCAGCGCCCCTCAGCACCACCACAGGGAGACTAGCTGGAGGGGCTCCCCAGGCCCGGGTCCTGGGAGACAGACTCCCATCTTCAGGGAATGTGATCAGCAACCAGGTCGGGTGAGGACACCTCCCAGGCCCAGGCCCACCCCAGCCCCGCGCTCCACCCCCCTCCTCTGCAGGTCCCGGGCTGACAGGTGGGGGCTCCAGCAAGGAAGACGAGGCATCCACAGGACAAGGCAGAGGGCCTGGAAACCGATCTTCTTCCCGCCCTGGGAGGCAAGAAACGGAACCGCCGTATCGAGCCAAGCGCCTCTCCTCCCTCCACCCTCCCATCTGCCTCCTTGATGGCCAGCCTCCCGCGTGCACCCCTCCCCTCCCCTCCCGGTCCCTGTCCCCTTTCCAGCCGCCCCATCCTGGTGTCTCCTTGTCCCCATCTCCAACTCCTCCTGCCTGCCTCCCCCGCCCTGGTTATGTAAGGGGCCCAGGAACACACAGAGGGAGCTTTGTTGTCAAACCAAATCCATACGGCCAGCGCAGCTGTTCCCCATTCCCTCCGCCTTGGCAGGGGTGAGACACCGGGCAGGGAGCCCCCACATGGCTCCATTTTGGAGGGTGGGGGGTGAACGCTGGCCCCAGGACCCCCAGGCAGCTGAACGGGTGGCCAGGGATCAGTCACCATCGCGTGGGATCACAGCAGGGAACCAGCTGGCCCCCAAGACAGACCAGAGCCTGGGTGCAAAGCCGGGCCCCAAAGCCCAGAGAGGGGAGCTCAGGGCTGGGACAGGGCTGCACCGTGAAGGCCTCGAGGGGTGCCCAGACCAACACCAGTGCACCCTATTTTTGTCCGCTCATGGATGCAGGCCTGCGTTCTGTCGGGCACACAACCCATGGACACACTCATCTATGCTCACTTGAAAGGCATCGGAGCAGAACTCTCCTCTCTGCTCTGACCAGTCTCCACCACCCCAGGTACCTCTGAGGAAAAGCCTTTGTGCTCTGGAGAGAAAAGGGTGGGGGGCAGTGGTCAGAGGCCAGAGAAGCTCCACCAGCCAGCGCTTCTTGGGAGGCCCTAGGTCCAGGATGAGAGCCTGCCCTCCCGCCCAGGAAGATGTCCAAGGGGGCAGGTGAGGGCCCAGGAAGCTAAGCGTAAGATGAGAGCATCGGCATTTGGGGGCGGCAGGCCCTGTCCCTTCACCAAACCCAACTGCTGGACGAGCCATCTCAGTCGAAAACACTGGGGCTGCCAAGGAGGAGGCCCTCCAGAGTGTCCACGGCCTGCAGGGCACCTGCCCGGCCCACCCGAAGTCTGGCCGCCACGTTAAGCAGAACAGTGTGGGTGCGGAGACGTGCGGTGGGGTGGGGGCAGAGGGGCGAGGGAAAGAAGGGAAGGCAGACACAGAGGAAGAGGGGTTGGAGAAGAAGGGGAGAGGAAACGGAAGGAGGAGAGAAGGAAGGCAGTGGCGGGTGGGGGGCTCAGAAAAAGAAGAGAAAGAAGAAAAGGACCAAAGACGGGACTAAAGGAAAAGAGGACACGCCAACCCACTCCAATATTTGTGCCCTGGAAAATCTTGTGGACGTAAGAGCCTGGCAGGCTACCGTCCACGGGGTCACCAAGAGTGGGACATGACTTAGCACAAAGGAGAAGCTCCAGCCCTAGAGGAAGCCCCCTGGCAGCCCTCCCACACCCTCTGAGCCAGAGCCGGACAGGTGGTCCAGGAGAAGCAGGACAGGGTGGGAGCATTTCCAGACAACTGGTCCCAGCCCAGCCAGCCCCACTGTCAGCCAGGACCCAGGGCTTTCAGCCTCAGCAATCCTACATCTTTGGAACCTAGAAGATAAACCAGGACCTCAGAGAAAGGAGAGATGGGGGCGGGGGGAGCACAGGAGAGGTAGCTCCTGCCTGGGGCGAGAGTCCCTCTGTGACCTGGAACAGTGAGTTCCTTTTCTGAGTCTCAGCTCCCATCTTTGTGAAAAGGAGTTACCGAGAGGCTACTGTGTGCCAGCCCGGTGCCGGGGATGCGACAGGAAGTCAGGTGGTCAAAGGTCCTGCCCTGGAGTCAGTCTAACATCAGCCTGGACCTCTGAGGTCTCCCCAGCTCACGTGTGTTGTCTGTGCTGCGTGACCGATCCCGTGAGCTGCACTGTTAGACCAGTTTTCAGATATGCTGGTGGAGCATCAGAGCTCCAGACGTGCCAAAGGCCATACGGCTGGGAGCAGATAGAGAAGACAGAGCAACATCTGCCCGGCTTTCTGGCCCCCAAAGAAAGCACTCTTCGGTCTCTGGAATCACAGAAAGCGCAGCAGCCAGCATTTATAGAGCCGGACCGCAGGTGCTGGGATGTTACTGGATATGTGCTCTCGAAGTAAAGGTCGCCAACGAGGAAAGGGATGGGGGGTTAGACTTCTAGGTGTTGCTGGGGAACGTGTAGACCGCCCTCTGCCGCCCCAGTCTCAGCAGTGGTCCCTCTGGGATAGGACCAGAGAAGGGCAGGTAGAACTACTGGGAGGGGGGCTAATGCTCAGCCCATCAAATATGACCCAGAGTCTCCCTGGCCAGGGGCTCCTGAGCCCCTATGGGGAAACAAGGAGGCAGATCTGAGAACCCACAGCCCCATCCCCACCCCAGAGCCAGAAGGCACCCAGAAAACACTCTGAGCTCTCTCTCAGGTGATCTCTGCTCTGGTCCACTCTGTGTCAAACCGTACAAACACATCTCTGAGCACAAACACGTGAATCCCTGCTCAAACACAAGAGCACACCCCGGAATAAATGCTGGGGATACACAGGAACTGACTCCAACACACACATCCACACACACATGCTCTCGACCCTCCTTCCAGGCAGAGAAGACAGACACCACCTGCCCAGATCCTTGGTCCCCAGAGAAAGTGCGCCCCGGTCTCTGGGCCCCACTTCCTGAATCACAGAAAGCGCGGCAGCCAGCATTTACAGAGCCGGACCCCAGGCGCTGGGACGTTTATGGAAATGAGCTCTCATTCGGAAGTGCTAATGCAGCCCTGCCCTCCCAGCCATCAGAGGCCCTCTGGGCTCACCGGGGAGTGGAGGACAGGGCCCCCTGATGTCACAGGTCGGACTCGAGGGGTGTGCAGGGCCATCAGGGAAGCCTCGGGAAGGGCTCGAGTTGGATGCTGAAGGATGCCAGCTATCTGGGAAGGCGACTGCCACCAGCACCCAAGTCACCCAGCTATCTGGGAAGGGGACTGCCACCAGCACCCAAGTCACCCAGCTATCTGGGAAGGGGACTGCCACCAGCACCCAAGTCACCCAGCTATTTGGGAAGGGGACTGCCACCAGCACCCAAGTCACCCAGCTATCTGGGAAGGGGACTGCCACCAGCACCCAAGTCACTGTCAGGGGCCAGCAGAAGCAGAGGCCGGAGCTGAGGACATGGACACGTGGCTGGGGGGGGGCGGTAAGAACAGCCCTACTGGACACCCCCGGTCCCACTTTCAAATGCAATTTTATATGGGACTCCAATATGTAGAAGGAAGAAGTGGCACTGTTTGGGTTGAAGCAAGAATGGGGGTGAACCCCCTCCCAAGCCCTTACTCCTGACATGAGACCCTAGAAGGTTCCATTCCAGCGGTGCTTTTCTTGGACCCAAATTTTGTGTCAGGCAGGAGGGGAGGTTAGGACCAG